TGCTGATAGACATTACCTACACAAGGTGTCATTCATTTAGTGCCGGAGTTAGAAAGTTTAATTTGGGTGAAGAAATGGATTAACGTCTGTGCACATCTTTGCAATGCCTTTGTATGTATTCTTGATATACCAAAAGTTTCCTTTGCATTAAGTCTTGTGCATGTCTCACTTTTCTGCTCCAAAAACTTCTCCCGAGGAGGATTCATGTTAAATATGTGATTACAGCCCTGCACCCATCACACCAGATGACTGTCAGGGACAAAATATGAACCGAGGCGTTTAAGGTGTGTGGTGCAACACAGCGTAGCAGATTCCTGACAAAGGTCAGTGTGATGGTCTGCTGGATGTGTGATCAGGAGGCTGTCAGGAGAGGAGGGACAGGCAGAGAGGTAGATGAGGAGCAATGGGGAGGCTGCTGGGAGTGGGGGGGGAGAAATTGATTTGTCTCCAGCTGCTAAGTCTCATTGCATGAGGCTGTCTGACAGGGAGCATTACAGTCAATCACTGTGGATCAACTCGACTGCCGCGCCACACGATCCCCTTGCCTGCCCCCAGACAAATTGTCTCATTCACAAGTGATGCATGATGGGAGAACCTTGAGAATGTTCAATATTAAAACCAGCCAGTCACGCATGTGTCTGAGGATTTCCTTTGCAAGGACAGAGCTGCTTATAGGTGGAGGGGATCCTTATCAGGTGGCGTCCTTATCCTCTGTTGCTCCACAGGGACACATTATTGAGCAGTTTTTTTTATAATGTCAGACGCATGATTCTGCTCATTTATGGAAGTTTATAGATATTAGTTTCAGGTGTGTGGATGATAAATGTCAATGTGAATGCTTCATGTGAAATAATAATCCTCTGCAACACCCCAGAGAAATCACATTTTCCAGTAGAGTGAATATACAGCTGAACATTTACAGAAACTTGTCAGGGGTCATCCCCAACATCTTCTTCAAAATGTTCTTTAAACTGAAACTGAAATGATGTTTTAAACTGGCTTTCTAAAACCGAATACACGATGAAGTGAAAGACATTTGTTAAGCTGCGCCCTCTGTGTCTCTGCTCTCAAACCGTTCCCTGTAGAGGAACTCTTCCTCTGCAGCTTCTGAAGAGTTCAGCTCTGCAGCGGTTTGGTGTCAGTGTGCAGAAGCACTCACAGAGGAGGAGGAGCACCGCTAGTGTCCAAAAGCTGATCTTCTTAAAGGTGCTGAATGTTGGTAGTGAGCAGACAATGTATGGAATGTGTGTGTGTGTGTGTGTGTGTGTGTGTGTGTGTGTGTGTGTGTGTGTGTGTGTGTGTGTGTGTGTGTGTGTGTGTGTGTGTGTGTGTGTGTGTGTGTGTGTGTGTGAGTGTGTGAGTGTGGGGGGATATTAAATCACATCAAAAAAGCAGAAATTCAATCTGATGTGTGCATCAAAGTGAAATAAGAATTCAAAGGGTCAAAAGGTCAAACACATCTAGATTTGTGATTATGCTTCTGCTTCAGCAGCCTCCTGGGAAACTGACATAAATAGGAACAACATTGAGGTGAAACCACACTGACATGTTGTTTTAAGTCATTCCTTCCTCCTCCTCCTCCTCCTCCTCCTCTCCCTCTCCCTCTTCCTCCTCCTCCTTTTACCTTACAGGGTAGTGGGAATCCTCAAACAGAATAACTGAGCCAAATATTAACTACACACCCAGTTCAGCTATTCCAAACACTTTCCTCCAACAAAAGCCAACAAGATGATGATTGTGTGTGTGTGTGTGTGTGTGTGTGTGTGTGTGTGTGTGTGTGTGTGTGTGTGTGTGTGTGTGTGTGTGTGTGTGTGTGTGTGTGTGTGTGTGTGTGTGTGTGTGTGTGTGTGTACCTGTGGGAAAACCTCCGAGTCTGAGCTTTCAACTGTATTTTAAAACTACAAAAAATCATTTTCAGGCCACAGCAGTGTGGTTCCAAACCTTTTCTGTTTGATATCCTCCAACATTTTAATCTAATGAGTTTTTCTTCATGAAATCCACAGATCAATTTACGAATGAATGTAGCCTTTAAGAGGATATTGTGCTTTGTTATTTAACACATTGCAACTGACTGTTTTTTTCTATGTATGTCACTTGCATCGGGGGTAGCTTCTTTTACCAATTAGCTTTTTACCTTATGTTTATATATTAAAGCAACATTATATAACGTTTGCACCTTAAATGTTTTAAAGAAGACAGTACATATTACAGTACACACACATAGGCTGAAATACAATCACACACACACACACACACACACACACACACACACACACACACACACACACACACACACACACACACACACACACACACACACACACACACACACACACAATCCTATGGACTAATGGAGAGATGTCAGAGTGAGGGGGCGGCTCACAGCAATAGTCCTGAGCAGGTGGGGGTTCGGAGCCTTGCTCAAGGACACCTAAGCAGTGCTCAGGAAGTGAACTGGCACCTCTCCAGAATGTGTTTTCTGTTCTAACCTTTTTAGGAGTTACAGCTGACCTTTGTAAGTGAGTAGCCGAGCACCACAGGTGGCAGTTCAATTAAAGTAACTATAAATTCACCTTAAAATCTGTCATCTGTATCAGCCTGTAAAAACTTTGACCAATGTCTGCCACGAGGAAACAATCTGATGAACCAATCACAGCCTCCCTGTCTCCCTGCTCCCTTCTTTTATTATAAATAACGTAATTTGAGTACACCTGGTTGAGATTTACAGGGAACAATAAAAACGACGGGTAATGCTGATGTCAGGTGATAATGAGGTTGAACAGCAGCTGGTCAGTTCACTGTTGGTCCTCAAACTGACCGCTGCTAGAAATACAGGAAAAGCTAAATTAGTGCCAGTAATGAACATATTAATACTATAGTTATTATTCAAATTACATCTATATAGAGACCCAAACAGATGCTTTAACTACTCCTGTGCCAGATGTTGTCACCAGCAGCAGTGTGCACATGTAACGTCACCTCTAAAAGGCGAGTCTGAGCTGATGAGATTCTTCTGATTAAAAGGAATCCACTCGCTCATCTGATCTCTGGGAGCTATCAGCCTTATTTCCACACCAAGGAAAATACGACTTTTTATTACCAAAACGTCTCCCTGCGCTGCAGACAGACTCAGATTAAAAATGTAATTTGTAAAAGATGAGAAATCCACAAGTTTAAAGAGCTGACAGCAATGACACCGCAGAGTGAACAAAGCCAGAGGCTCGGAAGAATGCAAACGAGCTCTGCATGTCTCTGCAGATAGACGGTGCAATAACTCATCTGTGAGAAGCTTTTGTTGCCCTCAAAAGGAAACATGAGCCAGCAAACACCTGAGAAAATACACAATCCAGCACGAATCAACAGAGACACAAGTACAGTATCTCATGTGCACACAGTACATTCCTTCAAGGACTGATCTTCGGTTTCGTTTTGAGTTTCTTGTACTTCACTAGCCGAGTTAATGCCTGTTCATGCAAATCAAATATATTTCTATGTCAGCTAGAATCTTGTAAAATAGAGTCTTTATCATTTGTCTAGGTTACCGGATATGAAAACCTGTGTGCAACCCTAAAAAACTCTCCAAAAACTCCCTCATTTATTCTGATTTGCAAACTAGATTTATGAGACTCAACCCCTTGAGTGCAAAGAACGGACCTAAGAAATGATGGTGCAGACTTAAACGCTGCACGTACAGTAAGAAAGCCTTGACCGGACGTTGTTTAATGCTAATGCTGGCTTCACCGGAATTGCTGAAAGAAAAGTATCAGTTCCATGAGTCTGCAGATACTGTCTATCACACCATGATAGACGATGACTGCTGAGGTCAAGTTTTCAAATACGTAACAGGCAATTAGTCAAAAGTCACAAACAAAGATTTATTATGATAAATATGGTTTGAGTTTAAGTACTCAAGTTCACATGTAGATATCATGTAAGTAAAATATGTACCTAAAGTAAGACCTATCCATCACCATTGTCCACCACCTAAAGCTCTCTACACGGCGACACCGGAGTTCAATGCTCATAAAAAAAAAAAAGGTAAATGTACTTCACTTTTCTTGTTTTCTGACAACTCAAAGTGTTTTTACACTGCAGGTCACACCTACACATTCACACCCTGATGGTAGAGGATGCTGAGTAAAGTGACAATCAGAAGTAACTAATCCCATTCATACACATTCATACACCACCGTGAGTAACTTAAGGTTCTTTTTTTTTTTTAAGATATATTTTTGGGCTTTTTGTGCCTTTAATGTAGAGATAGGACAGTGGATAGAGTCAGAAATCAGGGAGAGAGAGAGAGTGGGGAATGACATGAGGGAAGGGAGCCACAAGTGTGATTCGAACCTGGGCCTCCATACATGGGGCGCGCGCACTAACCACTGCGCCACCAGCGCCCCAAGGTTAAGGTCCTTGCCCAAGGACACATAGGACATGTTGCTGCAGGAGCTGGGGATCAAACCCCTGACCTTCCAGTTGAGAGACGACCGACTCTACCACTGAGCCACATTTACAGACAAAAAGCGCCTACAGTATAAATCAAGCTTTTGCTTTAAGAAAAGAATACTTATTATTATTTTAACCTGATGATAACAAATACAAACTGGGTAGACTGTAAATGAAAAAGATTTCCGGTTACATCTCAGAGTCTGGGTCGGGTCAGGTATCGACACAGAAATGAAATAAGGAAGTAAATAAAAGTGCAGTGAACCAGTCCTTGGCCGCTAAAGATACACACAGCAAGCAGGCAGCTGTGTTAAATAATTCTGGTTCACAAACGCACAATAACACACACACACACACACACACACACACACACACACACACACACACACACACACACACACACACACACACACACACACACACACACACACACACACACACACACACACACACACACACACACACACACACACACACACACACAGCTATTTATGTGCTGGATGAAATAAAGGAGGGGGATGCAGGTTCCGGGATGCAGTGACATTTGTGCTTACCTCAACAGGGGCTGCGTTGGTGTCGGAGGTGGGTCACCATCTTGGCTCTGCGGTGGCTTCTTGGTCACCTGCTTATAAATGTTCCTGGCCGTCACCCCGAGCCACAGCATGGTCGACAGGGACGAGTAGTGCAGCACGACCCCGACCTGGTGCGAGGGGAAAGAGGGAACATTGAGTTATTTGTTTGACTTTGCTGAACTTTTGCTCTATACAGTGTGTACAGGGTGTCTGCTCGGGAAAATGTCACACTTGATTATATTCCTGTAAGTCAGAGAATAGACGTTCAAGGAAGAGCTGCCACTCCTCTCTCAAAAACATCATCAATGACACTCCAAGGGTGTCTCCACACACGTTTCCCCTTGAAGGGCTGCTTCGTCTGATCCTTCGCTAAAAGACAATAATACAGGAATAAGATGACAGGTTCAAAAAGTGCTATTGAATCATCAAGGTTGTTTGGGATAAGAGCATTATGACGCGTTAGACTGGCGGATAGCGAGCAGCTCCTTATCAGTTGAGGTAGAGGACATGAGGTGTGCACGGTGAATAACAAATTTGAATATAAATGACTGTCACGTTGACAACTATGAGAGCGTGATTGTTTTTCCAAAACACACTGTATACATGTCTCCGCTCTGCCTCATTTTAATATTCATGAATTATCTTAGGATAGGGGAACTCAGCTAACTTTGTTTCAAGGCTGTCTGCTAACTCGTGTCGAGATGAGAGGGCTGAAAAGAGAAGGTTAAGTAGTTTGGATGATCAAAATGGACTCAGAGACTTTCCTCCACCAGGTCAGTCTCTTCAGGATGAACTCACAACCGGACACATCCAATCAACCGGCTTCTCTCCAGTCTGAGAGGCCCAGGGACGTGAAGTTAGCACACCACAGTCCAGATGCTAATTGGAAGTGTCCTTGAGCTGGTTATAGGGAGCGGAGAGCGGGCGCTAAGTCAATCACGCTGCAGAGAGAACACACTTCAGGGCTTCATTAGTGTGAAAAAAGTGACAGGAAGGAAGTGTGTTTGTAATATGTAAATAAGTGAGGGGGCTTGGCTTTTAAATGTGTAGGTTTGTGTGTATTTGTGTAAGAGGGGGGCAGTGATAACAGCTGGCTGATTAAAATCCATTAAACACAATTTTTCCGTTTCAACCACAAACAATTTATGGATATCGACAGTGAAGCTCATTCAGAAGGTCCTTATACCTGCATTATTTATAACGGCCAGCAGGGGGGGGGGGTTACATAAATTACACTGGTTACATAAATGCCCAACAGCCTGACTCACTAAGAATAGACTGGGATCGCTATGAGCCCCAAAGTTTGTGCACCATTTGCTCCGACTATCGGCTCCATCTGCTTGTTTCATGTCTGAATTTGAAGAGAAGCTTTTCGCACCTTTACTCTGCGCAGAGCTTCACTCTCATGTTGACGGAGCTTAATTTGGTTAGCATTAAGATGATGAGCTAGGAGGGGAAACTTTTATTGTGTTTATTGTGAGACCAGCTGAGAAAAATGTGAAGTGAGTTTCATAGTTTATAACAAAGCTTCCTCCCTGAATGGAGAAAGAAAGAACTGAACAGAAAAAAACAACACTTGCATCCTTGTTGTTCATAATGGCTCCACACCTGCGCAGGTGTCAAGCCCTTGAAAGCCCTGGAGGAGATGAGATTTAGTACAGAGGGAAACATTCTCGTCATGAGTTGATGGGCTTTATTGCTTGTTACATGTCGTCTTTCACATAGCATGATGTTGTTGTGTAAATTGTGGTTCTATTTAGAGTAAGACAGCTGTGTATGATACAATCAATCTGGGAATATAATGCATGACTACCCTGTGACTGACAAACCATGGAGACTAGTAATCCAGGACAAAGTTGCAGCAAGCAATATTCACCGATCCATCCATTCAATCAATTTTCTCCCATTTATCCGTGCATGACAGCAGGTAAGCCCAGATGTCCATCGCTCCATCAACTTGGGGGATCCCAAGGTGTTCCCAGGTTAGATGAGATATATAATCCCTGCAGCATGCTCTGCATCTAGCCTGGTGTCTCCTCCCAGTCGGAATTACCAGAAAAGCTCCACAGGGACATGGCCAGGAGGCATCCCAATCAGACGGCCAAACCACCTCGACCGGCTCCTTTAGATGTGAAGGAGCCAGGCCGCTGCTCCCAGCTCCATCCAGATGTCTGATCTCCTTACTCTTCCTCTATGGGTGAGCAACGCAGCCGTGCAGAAGAAATCATCTTGGCCAATTTATCCGTCTGTCCTTCTGTTTTTTTGATGTGTTCTCACATTAGCTCACCCCGACTTCATGCGGAAAAGTGACTGCGGGGCTGACAGGAATAACTCCAGGTAACATCAGAGTGAACAACTTGGCTCTTTGCGTTTACACATGTTTTCAGGAGTTTTTATACACGTGGGAAAGCACAAATAAATGGACACTTTTTCATGCATGTGACACATTTCCCAGTAATATAGAAATTGAAACCTAACGATGTCATTATGACTAACCACAGATCATTTTCAGAGTCTATTTGCAGACAACAGTGTTTAGCATGCAGAAAAAAAGAGGAGATTCTTTTGATGTGTCACTGCAGCAATGCATAAGCTGTGAGTGACGGTGTTCCCCAGTGCAAAAAAACACCAACAATCATATCATATAGCACCAAAACAGCTCAACAGTACCTGCCACTTTAAAGGGAGAAAACAGAAGATTAAAGTTTGTGAAGATGTGGAGGAAAGAACTGTCCCTGAGTGTTTGTCTGTGCTCTTATTTATGTGTTGCTATTTTTACAGTGAGCACTTCACTCGTTCATGAGAAATTTAGAAGCAATCAAACTTCTTTTGGTAATTAGAAGAATGTGTGCACGTGACTTCATTTAAAAAGCAAGAAGACTTCTCACAAAGGTTCAATGCAGCTTGAGCGAATATACTTCGCACTTTCCCCGTCAGAAGAATTGTTAAACAATTTTAGCATATACTAACAATTCTAAAATCAAAAGTCCCTCAGAGCTCACTTCTGTACGCATATTCATTATATTGGCTCCCTACTGTTTTTGATGCATAAGTAACCAGTCTACCGGAAGCTTTTTACATGTGGGAGGGAAAAAAAAGAAGAGCTCAGGAACACTCAAATTGGATCCAGTGGAAGCACAAAGCAAATCACTGCAGATACTGTAACGTCTCGAGCCAGCCTTTGCCATCACCACTAATTTCACAGTGGCCCACTAATGAGAAAAGCCTCTGTGAAGCATCTATAAGCTGACAGGTGGATGTGACCTCAGATCTAGGTCACATTTAACAAAGTTCTGTGCTAAATTAATAGGTTATTTAATGCCGGTCACACTCACTGAACAATCAGCTGAGATGTCTAAGCCAGATTTGGGTGGACTGAGGTGAGACGAGGTGAAATGAGGACACGCTGTACGTTGTGCTGCAATATGTGCGAGCAGAGAGTGACAGCTGAGGGGTTGCTCAAATCAATGACAAAACGACGTTGTTGGAGAGAGATAGAAATAGAGATCAGAGCTGACTTTGAGGCCGTAAAGACATCGGAAGAGGCAGAGCCACAGTGGGTGGTGGTGGTGGTGGTGGTGGTGGTGGTGTCGGTGTAAGACTGAAGAGTGGCACACACAGATAGAAAGGAGGAAGATGAGTATAGGACGCAGGTGGGGATGGTAAAGGAGGAGGGGTTGGGGACTGTGTGCTTGAAGTGTTGCGAGAGCTGCCAGAGCTAGTTTCAAAGCTCCTTGAAGTTCCTTCTGTCGGAGGGAGAGCATGTACTTATGTGTCCCCCTGGGAGGAGTGTGTGTGTGTGTGTGTGTGTGGTGTGTGTGTGTGTGTGTGTGTGTGTGTGTGTGTGTGTGTGTGTGTGTATAGAGCGGAGGTGGGATGATTGGGGGGAGTACAGCAGAGCTTAGCAGGCACAGTGTGTGTGTACATTTGAACGTGTGTGTGCAGCTCCTCGAGCAGCGCTGTAATTATCCCAAATGGTGTGTGTTGGGGCTGGACTCCATCCCACAGGAGCAGCGCGGCACCATCTGGGCTCCGGCCCAAATCTGCAGAGAGTCGCCCTGTTAGCAGTGATCGGTTAAAGGAGGAGCAGCAAGAAACATTCATTGGCCGCAGGGATAAAATTAGATAAATGAATAAATGCTAAATAAGTTAAAGAGCGAGAGGAGAGCAATACAAGCCTGCAGCACCCGAAACTGACACTGCAGGACACAAAGCCTTCATGGGGTTTTTAAAGGACCACTTTCTCAACTTATGGTGCAACAACAAGGTTTATTTATGCTGTGTTTTTAATGCTTTATACATCAGACTTTTAAGAAACTACAAAGGACAATATTTTGGGTGCCATGTCCATCTGGACTGTCCTTTTAACTACATTTGAAATTCATCAGAATTGTAATGATCATTTGAATCCCTTACCTCCTTGCTTTATGATCAACTAAAAACTCCAGTTGTATTATCAACATAATGACAACACAGAGATTGTTCAAAAATAAATATTAGTGCTTTTAACTGCTAGAGTTAACAGCTGGAAAACTAACACTGGCTATTTAAGGTGAATGGTAAATGTACTTGAGCTTGTAAAACACTTTTCTAACCTTTAGACTACTCAAAGTGCTTTTACACCACAAGTCACACCTACACATTCTCACACTGATGGTAGAGGCTGCAAGAGTATGTAAAGTGACCATTAGCATTAGCTAATCCCATGCATACACATTCATATGCTGACTCCTTGCTCAACTACAAATTGAGCCACAGCCGCCCTGAGGGACATTGAATTTGAATTGTTGTTTGAAAAGAAAATTCTGACATTCGCCAAAGTTTTTTCTTATCTGCGGTTTGTTAAAAGCTAAGAACAAACTCTACAAACAGAGCACACTTACTCACATCTCAGGGTAGGGTTGGTAATGTCATCCAGCATACACTATTTCTAATGTTCATTAAAATGATCTTTACACCAAGACATCAGTCAATAAATCATCTCTGGAAAAAAAAGACAGAAAAGGAGCCGTCATCTCTAACTGCTGTGATCCTGTCAAAACTGACCTAACACTGCAATGTGGTCCGGATGAAAAGTAGCTATCAAATACCTCGCTGTGTGTATTCTACTCTTGCTCGCATTCAAAGCGCTTCACCGCTTCGGGAGGTTATTCCACGTCTACCACAGGATGGCAGAGAAAGCTCAGCTCAAATGAGCCCCGCCACAGTAACTTGTAAATGCTCGCCACCACTAAACAGAGCCGGAACAGAAAGACAGAAGTTTAGAGATGCCTCAAGAACTGACATCACAATAAGGAGACAAACTTATGAAGGCACCGTTTTTCAAAATCAGATCAAATCTAAAACTACAAAATGTACAAACAATGTCAAATCAGTGATGGAGACAAAATATACACAAACAATAGAGTTGTTTTGCTGTCTTACAAAACTCTGGTATACCTTGAAGTTGGGATGCAGCAGGGTATTACAGCTCTGGATCCCAAACATGAGATTAGCTGAGTGAAGAGTCAAATATTTATGGTCAAGTTATTAATATGATGTTTAAGGCAGGGAGCAGATGACTGAGGGAAGCTGCATCTTACGTCAAGCATCAACTCTTTCTCTGTCACTTGCAGTAGTGGAGGAAGACTCAACGGATATGACTCGAGCGTTGACTTCTTATAGGCCTTCCTGTCACAGAGGCTTCCTCAAGGCAGCTCATGCAAAGACGTCTGGTATGAAACATGGCGCTCTGAATTTGAGCATATCGGGGTGGAGTCTTTCTGGATAAGGAGCCTCCCAAAGTGCTGGTGACAGCAGAAGAGGCAGCAGAGTCCCACACGTGTCGCAGTTCACTTTAAAGGGTGCAATGATGGAGACGAGGGAGGGAGTGACGGCAGGTTATACTCGGAGTGAACTGGAGAACTGGAGTGTACATCAATCTCTTTTTGGCTGCATACAAAGTCCACGCTGAGCTGAGCTGAGCTGAGCTGAGCTGACAGGACAGGATGCTCTCCTCAAGCTGATGTTTCATGCTCGCACCATGAACAAGTTCAGCTATCAATCAACTAGAGATGGAGTCCAACAGGAACATCTGCCTTAACAACTGTGTGGAAAAAAATACAACTTTTCAATCTTAAATATTTACTTTCTGTCTTTCTGGCACAGACCTTCCTGTCGACGACCTAAAACAGGGGTTTGAATATTGTGCGAAAGCTAGCCTCTCCTGAAACAACATAAAATGTCCTGCCCAATCTCTTTATCTTGATTTTTTAAAAGTCCACTGTGACTGAGTGGTAGAGTCCGTTGACTAAGTAGGGGTTAGATTTCCAGCTCCTGCAGTCACTTGCCAAAGTGTCCTTGGGCAAGACACTTAAACCCGAATCGTCAGCAGCATGTGAATGTGTATGAATAGGATGAGTTATTCTGATGGATACTTTCACATAGCAACCTCTGCTATCAGTGTGAGAATGTGGTGTGAATGGATGAATGTGACATGCAGCGTAATAAGCATTTTGAGTGGACTTGAACAGCGTTATATAAGCTTAAGTTCATCATTAAAGTTACTTTTTGGGGGCATGTTTTCCTTTATTGGATAGGACATCTGAAGATAGACAGGAAATGATGGGCATGATGCACACCGCTGCTTCACATATCACTGTCTCACTAAAACATGAATCACTTTCATTTATTCTTTAGGCAAAAACATTATTGCCAATATCGCCTTATGCTCAACTCCAATTTAGTGGAAACAATGAGTCGGTGTCTTTCATGAGCATACTGTATGTCATAAAAGGGGCAATGGACTGTAGACATAGATTACGCAGATCATCCTCCCCCTGCAGCCTTGACTAGAACTTGCTTTTGACCTAGAAAAACACACTCACACAGGTAAGATGAGGTGAAAGGGATGAACACTTTTATAGCCTTTTTAAAGAGATGTGAGTTCAGACTCAACAAAAGGTAAAAGTACCCAAGAGACAGTTGATCACATCTTTCCATTCAAGTCCGTATTACACCTCTACAACTACAGATCTGTGACCGCAATGTCTTCAGCTTTCTAGCAACAAAACTTTTGTAACTTTGAAACCAAATGTGGTTGCTTGGCCTCCAGACACCAGAGTTTACATCATCTCATACTGTCATTAGCAAGCCCCTCTTTGCAAAGGACCCACTGGATTCTGATGTATTGGTACTGATGTTGCTCCATTGTTACAAACTTTAAATAGTCATGGTCGTACTGTCCTTCCTTTGTGCTGTCTCCAGTATCTGTCTCCTCTCTCTCTCTCTCTCTCTCTCTCTCTCTCTAAATCAACCCTCACACATCTAAGAAGTTAGCTAACCAGATTATTCATCTTGTTCTCTTTTTGGTTTTTATATTTTCTCATGCTTCACCTCCCTTGAAGTCCGCCAGCACCCCCGAGGGGAGTCGCGCCTCGATTGACAACCTCTGACCTAAAACATTTTTTAAGATTGCTCATCTGTCACTTTCCACAAACAGAACACTCCAGTAAAAGGGGAAACTGGGTATTTTTAACCTAGATCCTATTTTTACAGTGTTGTTGTGTAAATGACTAGTTTGCCTAAACACCTTTTCTGAACTGCTCCGGTGGATTGCTTCAGCCTGCAGCTGGTAAAACAGCTCACAATGACTGCAAGCCCTTGTCAGCAAATGAGCCTGATCAGATCAGAGTATATGTCCATGAAACGTTCTTGTTTTTGACACTGACCGGCTTGGATTGTTATTCTTAGTGTCTGGCAACATTACAGAAATGTTTTCTGCAGAGATGGACCTTTGATTTAAAACAGCCATTACATTACCCTTTTAAAGCCACAAGGCTCCTTTGATAAAAAAATAGTCATTTTACTAGCATAATCCTCGATTTGTTGGTCTGCTGCTGCCTTGGTTGGTCAGTTAGTTTGTTTTATTGTGTAACATTGTGAATGGTAACATCAGATCCATCACAACACCTTTGGGAAACACAAACAGGCAAACAAACAAACTGATTAAGACATGTTTAGTCTAGCAGATCCTGTGTCCTGCAAGATCTTTTTCAGTGGAGTTTGGTGGCTTAAAGAAAGCCATGCATGTAAAGGACGCATCTTGCTTGTCAGAAATAGTCAACCTCAGATCCTGAAATGTTGTCATAGATCTAAAATAATGATTTGAGCCTTCGGGATTTCTAGTTTTATAGGTTAAAATGCAAAGCCCTCCTTGTTTCAACTCCATTCTCGCTGTTCAGCAGCCTAAAAATAGTGAGGTACCAGCGGGCAAGAAAGCCTTTCTCTGACCCGTTTCTAAATCTGCTCTGACATCCCAAATCTCCACGTCCCTCCTCAAGTCTCACTAAGTCATTCGTTACTGTGGGCTGCAGAGATGGAGGGCACCACCCATGTGACCACACACTGATTGCAGAGGGGTCGGAAGTCCAACTGCAGGGACACACTGCCGCATCACAAAATGGAGACTGGCTCTCCTTCATCCATCACCGTGCACAGAAGTAGACAGTTTTTTTTGTGTAATGAAATTCTGAGACGATCCACAGAGATTTTCAACTGCCATGTTTT